TCTGCGTGTCCCCACCCTCCTCCTTCCTTCTTCCTTCTTCCTGCCAACTATTGGCCATTCAGCTTTTTATTAAACCAATAACAGTGATATCGTTATACAGTTTGACCAAACACTTCTGGGTGCAATCTCACCATTGTGGAAATTACTCTTAACTAGGTGAGGGGAATGCCCTGTCCTGTCAGGCTATGTTGTTCTTAGAACCCAAGGGGACTAGATTTGGTGACAGGTTTAAGATAATGAATAAATATCCCTGTGTCTTCAGCCTTGAAGGGGCATGAGGTGGGTTAGGTAGATATGTGAATGGTTCACATGCTGATGTAGTCACTCAGGAGTAGAACCCAAAAGAGAGATACAAAATGAAAGAGAATGCTAGACTTTCACATTCTTTTAGTTACCTTGAGGTTCAAGAGGGAATCAATGCTTTTTAGCAAAAGCAGCTTCTGAGTTCTTGTTACAGTCTTGGTTCCTGCCCGGCATCTCACCTCTACAGAGATGACCCAAAGCTGCTACAGTTGGTGTAGATCTTACAGGAACCTTTAAATCCAACTCAGCTGTGGAAAGCAGAGCTAAAAGACCGAAGAAAAACATCAGTCCGGATCACCATGAGTGGCTCTCATGGCTAATTTTCTTTTAGAAAGGCCTAACGAAAGCAATATTTTCAAAGTTAATATAATTATTTGCTGTGTTAAGCACTGTATTGGACACTGGGTACTTACACGAGAATATACAGCAGAGAACAGCCCATGCTTTAGAGAAAACTAGGTGTAGAGTTCTTTCTCAATCTGACCTTTGTTTTCTCTGTGATTAGAATGTTGTGAAGGTTAGCTGAGAAAATAGAAATCAGGACAATGGTGTTGGAAGCTGTCTTTGTGGGGCTGCAATCAGGACCAGCCGAGCAGCCCCAAGTTTGTTACTGAGTGGGGATGTGTGGATGAAGGAATGGCTAGCTATAGACGATAAAGAAAAGAGAGACAGAATAAAAGTCAAGAGAGGCAGATCAGTCAATACTCAAATGCCATAAGTTTATTTTTCACCACTCTTATATATCTTAACCAAAGAGGAGGACATGGTATCAACAAACAGACTTTTCTTCCTCCTCTCTCTAAGGGTTCAGTAACCACACCTTAGATTCAACTTCTTGTTTCCAACCTTCAGTGACAGGAGTAGCCATACCTCAGATCAGGTCTGTTGATATTTATGATAAGACAGACAAACACGCTTCTGCAGCCACACCTTTGACCTTTAGGTCTTACGACTTGCTGAGGACAGTTTTGAACTCTGCCTTTGAGCCAAGATGAAGTGCAGCCATCTTTATGGGCACCGACACAATGGTGAACACACGGTGATTAAGTCAGAAACTGTTGTCAAGCTCCTCAGCAATGTTAATCCACTTTTCAACAATTTGAAGAGGAAGGCTTAGTTTCAAGGCTTGTGAGGGTGTATGTACATATTGTTTTATGTGTGGTATGTGTGCTAGCCCACCTGTGTACATGTGGAGGAGAGAGGTTAGGTCAGGTGTCTTCCTCAGTTCTTCTCTACTGTATATTTTGAAACAGGGTCTCTCCTGAATCTACAGTTCACTGATTCAACTGGACTGGCTGGCCAGTAAGCTCTAGCAATCCTCCTGTCTCTGTCCCCCAAAGCTGGGGTTACAGCTGTCCCTCTGCTCTCAACTTGGGATCTGTACTCAGGGTTTCATGCCTAAGTGACAAGCACTCTGCTCACTGAGCCATCTCTTTAGCAACTGTGCGTACATTTTCACAAAAGAGAAAACAGGTTCTAAAAGGTATGCTAATTTGCTGAGAACCACACAGCTGTGACTATCACCACTAGAGTTTGAAGACAGTTCCCCACAGGGTTGAGAGCATAGACCGTGGACCTGAACTGCCTAAGCTAAGAACTCAAAACACATTAGTTACCAATGGATGGCAGTAATTTTGTTAGCAGTCTATGGATCAATCACTCATTCATTTTATTCTTTCCCCTTTTTTTCAGTGCTGGGGATTGAACCCAGGCCCCCCTAGATTGAGACAAGTTCTTTACCACTGATCTGTACATTTCCTCGCCCACATTCAATTTTCTTAATAAGACTAGGAAGTAGAAAATAGCCCCCATTTAGTTGAAGAAACAGGCTTGTGTTGTAAGAGTCTTGTTTGCCCAAATATAGTTCATGACTCACCCATTGCTGGCTAGATGAGTCTGAAGGTCCATATGTTAAAGGCTTCGTGCCCTAGACTGCTGTTATTGGGATGTGGCAGAAACTTTAAGAGGTAGGGTCTTGTGGGATGCCTTTGGGTCAAGCAGTGTACCCTTGAAAAGGATTGTGAGATGCTGGAGGCTTTGGACTCTGCTCCTAGCCATGAGGTGAACTGGCTGCCACTACCACATGCTCCTATAACAAAATGCTGCCTTGCCACAGGCCCAAAAGCAGCAGAGCCAACTGGCTATGAACAGCAATCTCCAAAACTGAGGCAAAGTACAAAGTACACCTTTCCTGTTTAAGTTGATGATCTGAGGTCCTCAGTTACAGTAATGTATGGTGACATGTCATTGTTAGACCGGGACTTCCTAAAGTTGGCTCACGCTTAGGCAGCAGGGAAGCCATTCCTTTTACTAAGGATGTCTTCTCTGCTGTTATCTTCATGTGGCTGTGTCCATGGCCACTTCCAAATTTTATTTTATGCACAGTTTTTAGACAGGGTCTCACCATATAGCCCTTGCTAGCCTGGAACCCACTATATAGACAGGCTGGCCTCGAATTATGTCATAAGATCCATGTGCCTCTGCCTCCCTGGTGCCTGGGAATAAAGCTGTGCCACCATGTCCAGCTATTCACTTACTTGATTACTTATTTTTGCAGTGGTTGAAACTTGGTGCCTACTAGGTGAACACTCAGCCCCTGAGCTACATCTTAGCATACTTCAGCTGTTGAATATTTTCTTTTTCCAGGCCATAGATAAGGCGTACAATCTCTGCAATGCTGTGGGTGCCAGTGATCCTAGCTCTCCTCAGCCAGTATGGTAAAAGGTGAACAACAGTCTTTACAGTGTACTATGCGGTTAAGCTATGCTGTTCAGCAGGTTGGGTTATTAAGCATTTTGCTTGCTTGCTTTTTGAGATAGTCTACATTCTGTAGCCCTAAGATTTCCTCACATTGTAGCTCTGGCTGTCCTGGAACTCAGTGTAGCCCAGCTTGGTCCCAATCCTCCTGTTTCAGGCTTCCTGAGTGCTGTGATAGGTGTGTGTCATCCAGCTTTGCATATTTAAATTGTTATAGAGCCCGCCAAAAACTTAGTGATCGGTTTGTGATCAGCTAACATTTTGTGTTTAAAGTTGTGTTTTTTTTTTTTTTTGTCTGCAATACAGTACTATTTATGTTTTCCTATGACTTCAAGCATATTAGTTCTTTTTAAAAATAACCTCACTTTACAGGTGAGGCTAGCCTGAAACTATGTAGTCCAGGCTGGCTTCACATTTATGGGTGATCCTCCTGCCTCAGCCTCCTAAGTGCTGGGATATAGGTAGGAATGGGCCTCCATGCCCAGCCAGTGTTCACTTTCTACTTGTTTTTTTCTTACTGGCTTTCATGTACTTTTTATTTGCTCCAGATGGTAATTCTTCCTATGTTACAAATCAGTAATTCATTTTTGAAAGTCCCATTTAATTGACTCCCTTTTCAGTTTTTTAGACAGATCTCACTAGGTAGCTATAGCTGGCCTGGAAGTCATATGTAGACTAAAATAACCTTGAACTCACAAGAGATCAGCCTGCCTCTGCCTGGGATTAAAGGCATGGACACCATACCATGTCCATCTTTGGGATTAGGGCTGACACCTCCAGTCACACTGCTAACCCAAGCTGACTCACAGCTCTAAGCAGGAGTGGACAGCAGAGATGCAGCTCTATCTACTCACTTGGTCTGCAGCTTAAGTAGGACTTAACTGTCCAGGAAACATTTCAAGCCTTCTCTGTTTTCTTTCCCTCTTCCCTAAAACTTCAGTACACAAGGCTCAGAGTTGGTTTTAGTGTCTACCATACTTCAGCCTTGAACTGCTAACATATAGATGCCTGAGAAATGTTTGTTAATGAAAAAATAAAAAGCACCCCAGCTTCTATGGCAATGTTATTTTCTAAGCCCCTTCCTGTAAGAAGTACGGTTTTTCCGCCTGCCGCTGCTGGTCTTGTCCTGAGTGACAGTAGTGACATAGTCCTTCTGTGGCACTGACCACGCCCACTGGGGGTGGAGCGATGGGCGGAAGTGACCTGTGGAAGGAGGTCGGAGAGGGAGCTAGAAAAAGCTCTCTTGCTGGCTTGACTAGGACAGGAAAGCATCGGGTGGAATTCCCTGGTGTTCATCTGTCTAGGTTGTAAGTTATTTCTCCCTGAATAAACATCTATTCGGCCTATTTGTTTATCCTGATCCTTATTTAACCGCGATACCTTCCCATTCCCAAAGGACTTCCAGGAACATGCAGAATAGATTTGGTGATTTCACTGAATAAAAATGAAAAGCGACTGTTGACGTTATACACAGGACACAGCACCCCAGAGAAGGCAGTATCAGCTCTGTCAAACTGTTGTCAAGAGGAACATAAGCTCTATTTGATAGGGGCTCCATCTTTCCAAAGGTCAAAGTGTGTATTTTAATGTTAAAGCATACTTCCAAAATGTCAGGCAAGCTTTGTTTGTTGGTTAGGCTAGGGGCATACTCTGAATCTGTTAGTTCAACAGAGCCTGGCATATAACAGGTACTTCTAGCCGAAAATGTTTCCCTTATAGGTGTGGTAGCACCTGTCATTAATTTCAGTACATGGGGTGGAGGCAGGAGGATGAGTTTAAGGTAATCCTTGGCTAGATAGCAAGTTCAAGGTAAGTCTGACCTAGATTCTGCCTTTAAAAAACAAAAACGTTTCTCTATTAGCTCCTGGCCCCTGAATAAAACACCCAGAAGTGAGGACAGATAAAGGCTCTCATGTCACTGTTGGAAATTGAGTTTGCTGTTTGAGTGTGGCTTTATTTCTGCCTCTCATACCAGTCGCTAAGCAACAGGAAGGTCACATTACTCTTCAAGTTGTACACTATTAACACAATGCCTTAGAAACACTTTCTGTTGTTAAATTTGTGACTGAAAAATGAAGGCCTGATTGGGCAACTGATTCACCTCTAGGTTGTGAATTTACTTATAAAGTACTTGGCACACTGACTCAAGAGGTAGGGCGGAGGGAGAGGCCTATATCCCACTCTTTGTTTTAAATACAAATATTGCTGGAACAGGAAGGTGAAGATATGTGTGATCTGTCCATAGAGCAGCTCATGATGACCGTCATGTGCAAATGCATGGTGTCTGGCTTTCAACCCCAGTCCCAGAGACTGTCCCCAAAATTATACCTCGTGTTGCACACTTCTACTACTTAGGCTTTGTTCTCCCCAGGGTTTCCCTGGGTGCTTATTTCTTCAGGGCCAGCCTGTGGGGATGAAGGTTTAGGGTCTCAGTGTTGAGCACTCGATTGCTCTTTCCTCCTCTGCAGTTCCTCCCGCCGTCTTGCCTGCTGTGCACTCATGCAATCCCTGAATGCCTGCACCTGTGGCTGGCACTGCCGCCAGTCCTGGTGCTGGGCCATGCACTCCTGCACTGCAAAGTGGGAGGCAGCACAGCCAGAGCGGGTGATCAGCTGGTCCAGTGGGTCTTCTTCCTCTTCATCCTTCTTCAGCTGCCGGGTCCAGTTATGGCCTTGAGGGACTGAAGCAGACATCTTGAGGAACCTAGAATATCAACACAGACAAGGTTAAAGTACAGGTGATTATACACACCTTTCTGTTCATAAACAGTATAGTCCAAACTGCACTTGTGGCCTGTTTATGTCTCTCTCCCTTACAGAGAGACTACACTGTTTAAGGTCAAATACTGAGCCTGCTTTACCATATGGCCCCTCTAGCATGAATCCTGTCAGAGAGAGCCTGCAAAATGGTTTAAACAGAACTGAGATAAAAGTATCTAAGCTCAACGGGGTCTGCCAGTGGAAGGCAAATTAAATGATATCTTTTTGAGGAAGACATTTTGATCCAAAAAAAAAAAAAAAAAAAAAAAAAAAGCAGCCTATCTTCTTTCTTCTAGAAGATAACATCAAACACTTGGAAAGGAATCCAATGGGTACAAGCAGGGTTGACACATGGGAGGAACCGAGAGCTCAGTGTAGCTGTGGCACAAAGCATATGGAGGCTGGGGCAAAATGAGTCTGTGGGGTGCAATGCTTCTTAGTCAACAATATTCAGATTTGAGGTGTATTTGCCCAGACTGTCTCCCCAAGAGCATTCGACTCAGCACCCCACAGAAGGCAGCAAGGAGGAAAGGCTTCAATAGAGATGACTTTTACCTTGGCACAAACTTTACTACGATGGGCTATAAAGGAGCTAAAAGGACTCTTAAATGACTCTTCTCTGTCTCATTCATTACCAGGCGATTACTAGAGTTGTGTGCCAGCTACTATGTGGAGAGTACACAAGCATGACCAGGTTAGAGACCTCACAGAATTTACAATTTAGTCAAGTAACCAAGCAATTTACAACCGTTTGTACAGACAACTGGAAACACAGGGGCAGGAATAAAGCCTCCAAAACTTTCTCGAGCAATGTTCTCAACCTGTGGGTGGCAACCCCTCTGAGAGGGGTGGCATATCAGGTATTTACATTATAATTCTTAATAGTAGCAAATTTGCAGTTATGAAGTAATTAAATAATTTTATGGTTCACAATACGAGGAACTGTATTAAAGGGTCATAGCATTAGGAAGGGTGAGAACCACTGTTATAGAGGAAATGACTTCCAGGCTGAAATTTAAGAGTAAATAGGAGTTAGTCAGATACGGGAAAACTATTTCTGGCTAGAGGTAGAAAGAAAGCATTGAACACACGGAATCAAAAGTTCGGTAACTGGGCTGAAGGTGTAGTTTGGTAGTGAAGCAAATGTCCAACATGGGAGAGTCCACTGGACTGGATCCCAGCACCACAAAACAATAAAACACTTCAGTGACTGAGAGAAGAGTTGAGCAGGAAATGGAAAAAGGTGAATGATTGACTGGCAAAGTTTTGCAGCCCATATTAGTAGTTTAAAACTATTACCATGAGGAAAAGGGGAAAGGCCCAAGAGGGATTGAAGCACTCCATCCACATATATAAACCTCCCTTATATGGAGTCACAATAAAAGGGAAAATGGCTTTGAAATACATTGACTGGGAACTTGATTCAATGGGTAGAATCACCAGTAACAGACACACACCAGGAACATACATACATACATACACACACACACACTCTTTAGGATTTAATAAGTACACTCAGTAAATGTTTACTGCAGTCTACACCCAAAACATGTTACCCTCGGTATCCCTTTAATGAAATGACTTCGACCCATGCTCTGAGGTAAGGGCAGGCTAGATAGCTGACAGCTTGGCCTGTACTTCTAGAGAGGCATGACAGAGAAGGGTTAGCAGAGAAATGAAGGTATCCTGGTCCCTTGAAGCACCTTTCCCAGTTTCGGGTGCACTCGGGCGGTCCCCAGGGAGCCGCTGGCGCAAGGATGCGTGCGCAGTGCTCACCGCGGGTGCAGGAGAGCATGAGAGCACGTTCCGTCTCAGAAGCCCGGCTCCGCAGGCAGCGAGGACGCTTCTCTCCGCAGGAAGCGGACCTCCGCGGAAGCGCACACCCGGAAGTATGGAAGCCTGCACATTATCATTGGTGAGTTCCCTGTACAGCCCTCCCTCAGCGGAAGAGGCGGACAAATGGAGGCGGGGTCACGGGAGAGGGGGGCGGGATCACGGGGAGATGCCTTTGATGGTTCTGAGAGACTAGGTGCACACTCTCCATTGACTGGGGGGGGGGGCGGTGGGGGGGGTGGTGGGGGGGTGAAAGAGGAGTAGAGGAGGCGGTAGCCCGTTGTGAATTTTCATCAGCCAGAGCTAGTCTGGACCCCATGTCCAAAGTGGGTTTCCGCATGGGTTGCCAAGTAAGCTGAAGGGCACAGGGCACAGAAAATAAATTTTAAAACTGCTTGAACATTATTTTTCATTCCCAAGACCAAGGAAGCACATATGCGCAGTATGATCTATGTCAGAACCAGGATCTATAAGAACTTAATTGTTGACTTGGAAGAGAGAGACATTTTCTTATTTTTAAAATTACATTGGTTTATGCGTGTCGCCAAGGCACATGTGTGGCTAGCAGAGAACAGCTTGCAGGAACTGGTTCTGTCTGTTCTTTTACCATGTGGGGTTGAACTCAGGTTATTTGGTGGCAGACACCTTTACTCATGAGCCATCTTACAGGCCTAAAGGAGATATCTCCCTCCTGCTCTCTGTCTCCCTCCATGCCCCGTTTTTTCTCACTATGTAGTGCAGGCTAGCCTTGAATTCATTATGTAGTTCAGGCTGTCCTCAAACTTGAGGCATTCCTTCTGCCTTAGCTTTCCGAGTGCTGCAATTACAAGTGTGTGCCACTGTGCCCAGGTCTGAAGCTAAGTTATATACTATTGTTTATATATACTACACAGTATTATGTATCTATAATAAGATACGCATGTACATATATATGTCTGATGGTCTTCACCTATTATCATAGAAGGTAAATTCTAGTTTGTAACTGGCAAAGAAGTTAAAATTATTCTAGCAACTTTCTGATAAATGATATATTACATCTCTAAAATTTGTTTTTTCATTTTTTAAAATTGGTTTTATTGAGACAGGGTTTCTCTGTGTAGCCCTGGTTGTCCTGGACTTTTTTTTTTTTTTTTTTTTTTTTTAAAAAAAAAAAAAAAAAAAAAACTCTCCCTGTAGACCAGGGCTGGTCTCAAACTCCCAGAGATCTACTTGACTCTGCTTCCCAAGTGCTGGGATTAAAGGCCTGCATACCACTGCCTGGCACCACTGCTAATTTTTGCCATGAACGTACTGTGTGGGTTCATAGAGTGAGTGTTTCTGGTTGAATGTTCTGTTTCCTGCCTGCCACAAGCCTCTTTTCTGTTTGACATTGCTCTGTGTTCTGTTAAACAGAAGATATGTCATCATACATAAATGTTTAATCCTAGGAAATAAAATGAAGCTTGACTTTGAATTTTCATGTTTCATGCTTTCCTTCTTGGATTTCATCTGTTTTGTTGACTTCTAGAGTTTATGACCAGTTTCATCAGCAACACAAGTGGCATCAGAATGCAGCTCAGCATTTCTCTCCATAGTTTGCTTATGAATTAAAGGCTGATTTGCAGGCTGGCAAGCAGGCAGTAAACACTGCTTGTTTGTCACATAATCAGCTCCAAAGAAATGAAGTCTTCCAAGAGCAAGACCAAGCCAAGATCTTCTAAAGGACCAAAAACCAAGCATGGTGCTCCCTGCATCCCTGCTGGCATGGCTAATTCAGCCAAGAGTGTTTAACGGGCACTTCAGTTTGTGATATGGGAGACTTTCCAGATCCAGGCCATCTAACCTATGACTGGCAATGTGGTTTGCCATTTGTTTGGAGGCAAAATCTCATTTAATGAAGAGCACGCAGACAGCCAGGCTAGGGTGTGCTGGCTAAGAACATGTTGTTTGAATATTTTTTAAAAGACAGTTTTAATATTTGTTTATTTATTTTTATGTGAGTATTTTACAGATATATATGTTTGTATATCCCAAGTGTGCCTGGTGCCTGCAGAGGCTGGAAGAAGGTGTTGGATCCCAAGAGACTAGAGTTATAGACAGTTGTGAGCTGTCATATAGGTGTTGGGAATTGGATCCATGTTCCTCTGAAAGAGCAGGCAGTGCTCTTAATTGTGGGGCCATCTCTCCAGTCCCTGAATAGATATTCCAATTGTCTTTTTAAAAGATGACTGGTCATAAGAGAATATTGATTTTTTTTTTTTTTTAGGGACAGGAATACTGTGACTTTGAAATTTTTTTTCTAATGAAATGTGAGAGCCTGTAAGACATAAAGAGGCTCCAGAAAACCTTGATTTTTGAAGACATTGTCCTTCAGTAATGTTGACAAATGAATGCAGAAGATATAACAGGCTAAGGGCCCTTGGGTGAATGTCCCTCCCTGACACCTCACATGAAGGACAGCTCAGTGGCATTCTGTAGTCAGTCCCTGTTGGCTGCTGGTGGTGGTGGTGGTGTGTGTGTTTCTTTTTCTTTTTTTCCTTTGCTTCTTTTCTTCCTTTCTTTTCTTTTTTCCTTTTTTCTTTTTCTTTTTTCTTTCTTTCTTTCTTTCTTTCTTTTTTTTTTTTTTTTTTTTTTTTTGAGGAAGGGTCTCATAGCCAAGCTAGCCTTGAACTACTCATCCTGTTATAGAGGTTGGCGTAAAATCATGATCTTTCTGCTTCTACCTTCTGAGTGCTGGGATTACGGGTATGAGCCACTATGCCCAGTTGGCAACAAGTTTCCTTTAGCCTTGTGTTTTATGTCTTGGCTTGGGTTAGGTCCTGAGTTCTCTCATATTTCTTTCTGTACTCGAGTGCCTGTTCCTTTCACAACTCCCTGAGACTGTTAATATCTGATTTTCATCTAGAAATTATTGTTCATGTCTTCCAGTTGTATCCTGTCTTCTATGGGCACAGCTCACTTCATAATTAAGAAGATAATGGCATCTTATTGATAAGAAATTACATTGCGTCCCTCTGCACTAAGAGGAACCAAGAGGGAGCGATGGTTTCCTGGGCTGGGGAGGGAAGATTAGAGGAGATACCCTGAGAGGGGCACTTCCTGTAGTCCTAATGTTTTCATTAAGAAGCTTTAATTGCATCTGACTCAACTCCCTGGTGGCTTTCTTCTTTTCCATCTGTGTAGACAAGCATTCATATTTCATGGCCACAGGATACACATCTTCAAAGTTTTGGGCACCATATGCTACTTTTCCCAGGATTCATGCAGAGTTTAAGCTATTTTAGTAAAGAAAAAAATATAACATGTTCATCTTTTTCTCTGCTCTAGTACTAAACATAGGTATAATAAATATGCGCTTTAATTGTAAGGTAACACAACTAACAAAGTGTGTGAAGTGTTTGGTAGGACTGGTACTCAAGTCCAGAGGGGTCTGCAAATTACTCATCAGTTAGTAATATGAAGATAATATGAAATCTCTTTTAAAATGTTTTTTGAAGATTCACTGTTTTATTTATGTGTCTGAGTGCTTTGTTTTCATGTTTGTATGTATGTTTCATGTGTGCCTGGTATCCACAGAGGTCAGAAGAGAATATCAGATCCCCTGGAAATGGAGTTACAGATAAGTAAGCATGTGTGTTCTGGGAATTGAGCCCAGCCCCCCTGCCAGAACCACAAGTGCTCTTAACCAGGAGCCATCTCTGCAGCCCCTTTAAATTGTCCTAATATAGTGGCATCATAAGGATACTTCATAATAAACTACTGGTCATATTTTCCTCACTTGTTCCCTACACAGACACACTTCCTCAAAATCCTAAACATTGCATTTGAAGAATAAATTTAGAAAGTTATATAATTAAGCTCTTTTTTTTTTTTTTTTTAACCACTGTGGACTTTTTTTTTTTTTTTTTTTTTTTTTTTTTTTAAGCAGAAAGTTGTGGCTAAATTGGTTATGTTAAAATTCTGAGACAGGGCCTCATGTTGCTACATAGCTGAAGATGACCTTAATTCTTTTCTGTTTTGGTTTGTTTTTGTTTTTCAGGACAGAGTTTTTCTGTCATTTTTGAAGGCTGTCCTGGGACTAGCTCTTGTATACCAGGCTGGTCTCAAACTCACAGAGATCCACCTGCCTCTGTCTCCCGAGTGCTGGGACTAAAGGTGTGCACCACACCCAGTGACCTTAACTCTTCTAAAATTTTTATCTCACAATTTTGTATATTAATACACACACATATATTGTGGGCTCAGATCATATTCCCTTCTTGTTATCTAATATGACCCCCCCACCATTTTTTCCCAGTAAATTCCCCTCCTACTTTAAAAAAAGATTTTTTGATACAAGATCTCTTGGAGCCAAGGCCAACCCATTATGAGCAGTTTGCCCACCAGCCTGGTCCTACAGCAGCGTCAGCCCCAAATAACACACAGAGGCTGTATTAAATATAAAGCTGTTGGCCTGTTACTAGCGTTTCTTATTGGCTAGCTCTATTTTAAATAGTAACCAATTTCTATTAATCTAAGTGTTTCCACATGGTCTTATCTTACCGGAGAGAGGGTCTTGACCTTCTCAAATCCCTACATCTTGAATCTCCTCTACTACATCTCCCAGAATCCTCCTTGTCTCCTAGTCCCGCTTATCTTTTTTTTCCTATTTGCCAACAGTGCTTTATTCATTAACCAATAAGAGAAACATATTTACAGAATGACTTCTCCCATCAACTCCTCTTTTCTATTTAAATAAAAAGAAGGGTTTAAACTTAACATAGTAAAATATATAACAAAACAGTTATCAAATAAGAACTATAGTTAACAATATTTAATCCATTAATGGTTAGCAAGATTTAAAGAAAATATTTCATCATCTATTCTATCTTTATGAGGCTAAAGTCTTATGTGTAACTTATCTTTAATCCTAACAACCATAACTGTATGTCTTCAATTCCATCAAAGACCACAGAAGGATAATATATAAACTC